GCCAGCAAGCCACTCCCACAAAGGAGGCCACACCCACAGAGTAGGCTCCAAAAATGTTTGAACTGATACAAATGTTACATTACTAAACTAGGTGACATCAGCGCACAGGGAAATGGAATTGGCCAGCTGTTTAAAGGCATTAAATTTGCCTTGGCAATCTTGGTTGAGGTGCGGTTTCTTCTTGGATGGTCCCTGGATTAGAGTTGCTTCTTCTCTTTAGTGACCATTCAGAGTTACAACAGCACTGAAAAAAAGTGACTTATGACTGTTTTTCAGAGTTATTGCAGCATCCCCATGATCATGTGATCAAAATCCGGATGCTTGGCAACTGATTCATATTTGTGACCGTTGCTATGTCCCAAGGTCGCATGATCCCCTTTTGCGACCTTCTGACAACCAAAGTCAACGGGGAAGCCAGATTCACTTCAAAGCCCGGTTGCTAACCTATCAACTGCAGTGATTCACTTAACAGCTGTGGCAAGAAAGAGAGTAAAATGGGCCAAAACTCACTTAACAAATGTCTCACTTAAGAACAGAAAGTTTGGGCTCAATGATGGACGTAAGTCAAGAACTGCCTGTAGTTTATCCAGTAGAGTTTCTTGCTCATTTGGATGTTGGGTAGAAGGGATAATAATATGATCTGGCCTATTTGTTTCCTTCTTTGAAAGTTTGGTTGTATCTTTTAAATGACATGTAGAGGGCATTTATTTTTAAGTATCGGTTAATAGCTGGTTTATCTGAAAGCCAATCTTCCAATAATTGCCTAACATTTTTGGATTTGGCTTGGTTTAGAATATCAACAGTTTCCCAGCGGACATTGTGGTTGCATTGGCCGTGTGATGAGATATTAAGAAACAGACACATCTAAACTCATCAATGCATTCAATCACATCTGTGCCACAATTTCATGTTCTCCCTAGCAACCAACACCCAACTAAAAAGCAAACAACACTAGAAAATGATGAGCAAGGAATGATACAATTTGTTTAAAGTTAGCTTTATAAAAGGGGAGTTAAAGTACAAGTGAGGAATGATGTTAAAGTCTGTTAGTTTATTTTAGAATATGGTTGTTAATGCTTATGCCCGATATTTGCTCCGGGAGGTTGGAGGGGGAGGTTGG